AGAAAAGAAAAGAGAGAAACCCCTTACCTTTAATCGAAAGAACGTCAGGAAACTCGAGGGTCGCCGAGTCTTTGGTTTCTCGAAAAGTAAATCCTATATCTAGGGATCTAGAGTTTTTTTTTAAGTTAAATCGAGTTAAGGAGGTTGAGAAGAATGTTCGGGGAAATGTTGCTTATTATGGCCGTCGTGAATGACCATGGAATGGCACCGGTGAGCGGCGGTCTCCTCCTGTCAGCTAAGGCAGGTTGAGAGAGTTTGGGAAACTCTCTCTTTCTCTTTCTGAAACCAAGTGAGAATGAAGAAAGGATGAGGGATATGCCCTAAATTCGAGCTTAAATACCCAAAGCAAAACTGTGTAGTTTTGCACTCCCTCACCTTGTTTTTCAATTTTTAGGGGTTAATTATCATTTAGGTCCCTACTTCTTTGTAATCTCATGATTTGGTTATCGAATGAAAGTATGATACTCTGTTTCAGGCATTTTTTCCAATATTTATGTTTAAGTCACCAGTTCCTATATTGTGATATATTTATTTATTTTTGAATCTGGTCCTAAGGTTTATGATTATTTTGTTTTAGTGATTATTAGGTATGAATGCGTTTACGTTTAATTATTATTTTCCCTTTTATATTTCTTCTTTAATTTATTTTTGTCCTTAACATTATTTAGGGATTATTTTCATTTCTGGTACCCATATTATTTAATTTATTCAATTATGGTTCTAGTGTGTTTATATTTGTTGTTTAGCCCTTCAAATTTTTGTTAGTGCCATTTTGATCCCTTAAATCATCAAACATGATTATTTTTGTTATTTGTATGTTGATCTGTAATATTTTTATTTTATTCTATTCCTTCTTGTATACATATATTTTGTATATTGCAGCTCTATGTATTATATTAGATAAATACTATTAGCTTTATTGTTGTTTTTGATTTATCTAATATTTTATCTATATTTTTTTAGAGCACCAATTTGTAGAATGGGCGTGGAAAGCATTGTTTGGTCAAAGTAGTGTGATCCGATACGATGTTCGAACGAAATGTTAACTTGAATTAAATCAAGTTTATTTTGCTAATTAATTCATTTTTATTTCAAGTCAAATAATGCAATGCATGTTTCTCTAAATAGCAACTTATTTTATTTTATGCAAATGTCGATGTACAATTTATATTCGATTTGCGTTTTTTAAATCTAGGAGGGAATATTCTTTTTAGGAAATAAATTAGAAGAGATAGCCTTCCCGTCGGAGGATGAGCAAATCTAGATATTTCTTTTCGAATTAAAGAATTTTCCCTAATAAATAACTCTAAGCAAATTATTTAAACTTTAATAAATTGATAATATTTTGACTCTATATTCGATTTATTATTTTCACTACCGTGATAATGTATAAGCGATTAAGTACCAATTTTGGGCGTTATGGGAGTGTTAATCCTTCCCCACGCGTAACCGACTCTCGAACCCGTTAAATTAGATTGTTGGTAAACGCAGACCGATTTTTGTCTTAAAAAATGATTTTTCTTAAAATTGTTTTAAAAGATATTTTTAGGTATTCGATCTACCTTGACCAAAGGTCGATGGTGACTCTTATTCAATTTAATTCAAATTAATTCAAAATCAAAAAAATTTCAAATATAGTCACAACTATTTTTTTAGACTTAATGGTTTTCAAAAAAAAAAAGTTATGACAACATTTATATAATTGACCGTATTTAAATATAAGAAACTAAATCCGCCTATGCGTACCTTTGTAAAGGCCTAATTTTTCATCTAGGTCTTTCTTCCTCCATAGAACATTGTGGAGCTGATTGTTGTAAATAAGTAATCAATTGTGAGTTTCAGAGCTAGACTGATGAGTATATTCAAGATAACGACAAATTTAATGATCACACAAAAAATAGATACCAAGATTTTACAAGGAATCCCATTTCGTAAAAACTTACGGGCAAAAGATGAGAATTTTCACTAATGTCGAAATATAAGAATAAAAGAGGAATTATCATTAAACAACTTGACATCTATCAATAATATCTATTATTTATTTATAGGGATAACCACTTTATTACAAAAGATAATTATATTACAATAGATCTACTCAAATTATGTTTACTACTCTCATTCAACAAAAAAATATAATAAACTTCTTACTTTGAATCAAACTAAGTTTCCTATTTTTCCCAATCAATTTGAGTCAAATCAAATTTAGGTCAAACTCTAACAATCTTTATATTGATATGAATTCTTAAAGCGTATGGAGTTCGAGACAAAAATAAAAATTTGATGAAACACCCAAACTCAACAAAAATTAATGGGTAAACTATGCGAATAGTCCTCCATGTTTCTGGTTTGTCAGATTTTGATTACCGGTTCAAAAAAAGTAGATTTGACCCCTTATGTTATCGATTTGTTAAATTTTGGTCCCTCAACCATTAACTTCCGTTAACCCATGAACGGAAGTCTAAGTGGGCAATTAAAAAAATCCACTTCTTCTTCTTCTTACTTCTCCACCATAAATATAACTTCCATAGTCACCACCTTCACGTCCATACCAACATAAACTACCACCATTAAGCCCAACACCATACGAATAAAAGCAACCAGAATAATTAAATGATGGATCGAGAAAAAAAACTTGGCTAAAACATTGAATAGAAATTAACAATAAATTTCATAATAAGAAATCACCGCGACAGCTACAAGCTAAGGAGATTAAGCATTTAACAACACATGGAATTTTTTAATTACCAACTCATTCTTTTGTTAATGAGTTAACAAGGGTTAATAGATGAGGGACTAAAATTGAACAGATCGATAATGCTGGAGATTAAAACTATTTTTTTAACCGATGACTAAAATCAAACGGACCAAATAAATAAGGGATCATTTGTATAATTTACCCAAAATTAATTCTTCACATCGGTATAAAAGTTCTCTATCTTGAGAACATATTCTTCACTTCTTCAATGAACCCCTTTATATTCTTCAATAATGATTGTCAACTAAATCCAAGTATTGCAGAAGCTTAGATGTATGGGATAACGTAATCTTTACATCATTGATGATGTAATAAGTGCCAACTTTGCTCACAACTATATCTCCATGAGCATTCTCATACACGGCATGATCTAAATCATCAATAGTAATTCTATCTTTTTAGTTGTTATTTCATGTGATGAATTGGACTCTCTTTTTCTTCTCAAATTCGTTATGCTCATGAAATGGAATTATGTTTTGCTTCTAAAATTGTTATACGATTGTCTTGTTTAACATGAAAATTTATTTTCCTTGATTCAGTCAAGACATTTTCACTAGTAATATCGTCATTTCACATGAATGAGGAAACAACAAATTTATTGTCTAAAACTATTCAACCCTGCAAAACATAAAAATTGTAGCATTTTCCCGCCCTTTCATCATAAGGAGAGAATACTTACAAATTTTTCATAGCCCCACATTTACAATAGCATATGTATCTTTTTGAATTCATAATACCTACTGAAATTAGTCTTCTTTTCCAATATGCTCCGGTTCAAATCTGTATTATGATCCAATAATGAAGTTTCATACGTTAAGGATGTTATTATCATTATCAAGACAAATAACTTGGATACTCTATCATCAATAAGCATAATCATCACACAATCAAATAGACATTGAGATTTTATATGAAAACACCTTTTGAGAAAAACCAAAGGTGGAAGAGGAGAAAAATGCAAGAGAAATTCTCATCAAACAACTTGATATCTAACTCTAATCTCTTGTAGCTATTTATAGGAATAGTTACTCGATTACAAAAGAAATTGTTGCTTATTCTCAATCATCATAAATTAGAATATAGTTCTTACTTTTAATCAAACCAAACTTTACTAATTTCCGCTATCAATTTGAATCATATTGAATTCGAGTCAAACTCTAACATCATATTATATATTTATCCTAATTGTTGACGGAATTGAAAGTACTAATTTCATAAAAACTTTCCTTAAAAAAATTGTACTGATATTAAATTGGGTTAATATTCAATTCATTATTTTTAATCCAATAATTTCTAATACATGGATGATATACTGACATTGAATCAGAGTGCATCCACTTCATTTTTTCATCTATTATTAAACAAATTTAATAATTATATTTTGTGATATTACTTTGTAGAGGAAATGTGATGATGAGAAAATTATTAAGAGAGTGTCTCTAATTTGTACACTCATACTAATTGATTTAAGAAAAAAAAAATACTAAATGATTTAATAATAGCCTTGAATTTTATTATGATTTAAATAATAATTTATCATAAGTTGAAAATTAAATTATATAAAGTATAATTAATTTTTATAATATAAAATAAATAATTCATATTAACTTAATGAAAAATTTAAAACAACAAATACATTTTTTCAAACATATTGAGAAAACAAAAAATCTAATTTATTAAAACTATTTGAATTTGATTCAGATTGATTGAGCCCTCTATATTTTTTTTAGCATAGCAATAAATTTATTAATAAAATATCACTAAACATTGGATAATAAGACCCTAGATAAAGGAAAATAAAAAAAAAAACATCGAACGTCCAAGAAAAAAATATAGAAACACCTCAAATGGAAACAAACAATAATAGAGATAAAACCCACAAGTCAAACACAGGTCACGAAACTATCAACCCAAAGATAATCCCAAAATTTTACTACACTTAACAACTCAAAACAATGACAATCACCCTGGTTCCTCATGAATAATATAAATTGATCAAAATCAGAAAGCTAATAACCGCTAAACACCTTCTCCAAAACCAAATTGACTAATTACATCCATATTCAAGCAAACCTCAAAAGAAAACAATATTAAATGAACACATTATATATATTTCACAATCATATTTTGAGTATCAATTTTCAATGAATAATAACTTTGTGTACATAGTTTAGCTTTCACAAACGACTTCAACAAATTTCTTTGAAAGTGTTCTTTTAAGTAAAAAAATAATGTTTATGAATAAAAGGAGTTTTCTAAACCCTACCAATAATGTAACCTTTTCATTGTCTCACAATTTTAATTCCCGTCTCTCAGCAAACAGTTTCCCGGTAACCTCCTTGTTGGGAAGCAAAGCAAGCCAGACACCGGTGTCCGCCGCATGCTCAGCCGAAACATTGCCAGACCAACCAGTCATGGCAGTTCTCACCCATCCGGGACAATAACAGTTTATATATATCTTTTGGCCTTCAGCTCGTTCCGCCAGTTGGTTCGCCATGAGCACACTGTAAAGGTTAACAGCAAGCTTAGATACGGCATAGTCTGTAAATTTCTGAGGCCATCCACCCGATTGCCATGTATTATCTTCAACTTGTATAAGAAATGTGGACACCATGTTGTCAATTAGTTCCTCAGATAGGGTCTCTAATTTGCTGAGCTTTTCCCTCAAAGCTTCATCTTCAATCCTCTATCAAAGAAAAGTTATCAATGTAAATTCAATTTGCACGAAAAATAAATGATAAATAGAAATTGGGTAAAGTACACAAATGGTCTCTAACTATAGCGTATTGCTTTATAAAGTCCCTCGAATATTAAAAGTTATAAAATTATCCTTCTACTATAGGGTGTTGCTTTGTTGAGTCCATCAACTATTAAAAGTTACAAAATGGTCACCCGACTATTCATATGTTACAAACTCGTCTTTCTCCAACTAAAAATTAGTAGTTGCCTGAGTTTGACGTTAACATGATAACTGAGATATGATATTCATTTAAAATTATGGTATCAGATTTTATCATATTATTGTTAGCAGGTTAACATTCAACTCAAACTTTTGTCAAATTTTTAATTGAAAAGAACGAGTTTAGAACGTATGAATAGTCAAGTGACCATTTTGTAACTTTTAATAGTCGAGAGACTCAACAAAGCAACGTATTATAGTTGAGGGATCATTTTGTAACTTTTAATAATCGAGGGATTCAATAAAGCATCACCCTATAATCAGGGACTATTTGTGTACTTTACCCATAGAAATTTAATCAAATAATAAACATCTCCGACCCGAAATATATATTAGAATACGAAGAGAAATCATAAAACTATACACGAGAGATGATTTACTTACACTGCGGCGGCCATTCAGTTTACCTAACCGTGAGCTAACGTTAACAATACGAGCACCAGCAGCCGAAGGTCTCATCAATGGAATCATTGCTTTAACCATATTTTTGGTGCCATAATAATTGGTCTCGATCATCTGCTTCGAAAACTCCATTGAATTTCCAGACCCAAGATTGTAGTTAACACCAGCGTTATTTATCTGCAAAAACAGTACACTTCTACCTCACAAAGAAATGAACCCTAAATGATGGAAAGAGTTTAGATGTTATACCAGAATATCAACGCCACCATATTTTTCTTTTATCCACTTTGTGAATTCAGAAACAGATTCATCGTCCAAGATGTCGAGCTGATGGACATCCACATTGAAACCACCTTCTTGCAAGACCTTGGCTGCTTCGATGCCCACACTGGTGTCTCTTGATGTTAGTATTACTGTCAATCCATGGCCCGCAAGTTGTCTTGCAAACTCAAACCCTATTCCTCTATTTGCACCGGTTACTATTGCAATTGTTTCCGCTGACCACCACCTATGTTATCATTACACTAAAAACATGTAAATCTTCGCAAATACTATGTCTGCATGGGAGTGTACATTATAAATGAGTTAAGAAAAATTCGAAATATATTATTTTGTAATTACCTAATAGGCTTGTCCCTGAGCATGGCCAAAAGGGGCACTTGACCAGCCCCTTCTTACCTGGGGCCTAAAATTATAAATTCATATATAATTAAAAAAAGGATAAATTATCTATTTAGTCACCCATCTATTATTTTATTTCTGTTTCTACCATCTAATTTTTACTTTTTTTAAATATCGTACGTAACGTTACATTTTGTTTTTTTACTCACCATTAAAAAATTAACGACGATGCCGATGTGGTATTTTTAAATTATTTTTTATTTTCCTCTTAGTTATTCTTTTATCTTTTTTTGACAAGATGAAAAAGGCTAAAATCTAACACGTACCATCTTGAAAGAGGAACATGCTTGTTTTATATGTGTAGTTGGATTTAACAAAATTTCTTAATGTTTTTTATTTAAAATTTGATGTATTTATTATATAGTTTATTAAACGTAATAAAAATAATTTACAAAAAAAATTATTTAATTTCGCTTGTTTTTATGATTCAATTTTCTCAATACTTGTTAATAGTTCATGCGACTAAAATCTCAAAAACGGGCATATCACCTGGACCATTTAAAACTGTTTTTAATAGAATATGTAATGCCAAGATCCAAGAAAAGGGAACGAAAAGCACCTTTGATGATCAGAATAAGGAATGGTTCTGAGAAGGGAAATCTCTTGGAGTCTCTTTTCCCTTTTCTCAATTGATTTTTCCTTTTTCCCTGTCATCTCCTTGCCCTCTTGATTAATTTTCATGTATTTTAGGAACAATTTTTAGGAAAACATTAATTAAAGAAGAAAAGGTAGGAATAAATCTGTATCTACGTATGTAAATGGTATAGAAACACAACGAAAGCAAGGCATGAAGGTCTGCAACAGCTCATTTGGTGTCTGGTCTCTCTCATCTTAACTATGGAGATGTTGGGGTCAAATGTTTGAGCTTATTTTCAGGTCAAATATTGCAATTTTTATGCCTTAACTAAGAGGCCGTTGCTCATTTATTTCTTTTGCACCACTAATTCACTCTTGGTTGAATTTAGACCAACCAATTCTTATTTTAAAACTAGAAATAGAAAATTATTGCTTTCAAAATGTTAAAAGAAGGATAAAAAAATTCTAAACATATACTACTTAGAGGATTTGAGTTAGAATAGTTGTGTTTGTAGAGCGTATTGTCAATAGGGTAATAAAATTCTAAACAAATATTACATTTCCAAATTACTATAAAAAGGGATAAACCACATAAAACGTCAGTCATGTTTGTGTAAGTTTTTTTTTTTCTTCACTGATGTTTCAAAACTAATGATTTGATCACTAATATTATAAATTTACAATAAATCAATCACTCGACGTTAACAACCATTACTAGGGTGACAAAATGTTGGTGTGACACGTTAATCGGGCCTAACATTATTTGTGCTATGCGAGACAACCAGGGATTGTCTTCCTCTCCCCTCTTTAAAGACTCCAACCTCTAAAATCTCAATTTACCCATTTGAGTATGCAAAAGCTTTCCTCAATGAAGTTGGTGGGTTTTTGTTCTAAAGTGTAAGTTTTGGCTATCAAGAATGGACTCATTTTATTCTAGTTCATTTATATTGTTTTATAATCTTGCTTTTACAGTGTAGTTCTATGATCATAGCAACAACCAAACATACTTGACTTGAACATCGATATTTAAAGAATGTAATTTCTTTGAATTTAAACATTTGTCCATACAATTTTAATTCTCACTTTACTTTTTCAGTAACTTGTTTAATATCTTGGCAACAACTAAGTGTTTTTAATGCTCAAAACGTAATACATTTTTAATAGTTTTAAATTGTGTTTCCAAATGATATTTTTACCCTCACTATATAGCATATAAATACTGGATAATTTTACTCATTTGATTATCCCTAGTAAATGAAACTTGCTTTGAAAAAATCTCTTTGGTTTTCATAAACATTTTCTGAATTTTGTTTCTAGTTGAGAGAAAAGTAATACCACCCAAGTCCACTTTATTTTTCGAGTATACGAAATTTGGAGAGACCGTGCTAACCTCAAGGGTTGTTTGTCCATTGTAACGATTACACACATCGTAGTGGATTCGCTTCTAAGGCAGTGGATTACCATGACACGGTTATCATTCTATTTGGCTATTTTTTTAACATTTTTCAGAAAGTGCTAACGTCTCATTTTGCAACAATCAATTTTACCAACACTAAGTATATCTAGTTCAATGTCTATGGAAATTTCCAAACATATATATGCTTTGGGTGGTTTTCTTTGACTTTAAGCACTTATCCAAATTATGTTTCAATCCAATCTTTCTTTTGTTGTGAGTTAGTTCAAGGACCATGGTAATTGTCCAACATAGTTCAGAGTTTAGCAACTGCAGGTAGATATACAAGGAGTACACATTCAAGCACGCATTCGTGACAGAAAGGTACACAAACAAAGCTCATGCCAAAGAACATAAAAGATATGTGCGGCAAAAACCCTTTTTCCTTGCCATTAGGGGTATAAGTAAATAGAGCGTTCGATGAAATATTCGTAAATCGCTCATATAACATTTGTTTATGTTCATTTATTAAGTTAAAAAAATGAATATGACAAATTTTTAATGTTCATTTACTAAATAAATGAAAATGAAGATAGGTGTGTTTGATTCATTTATATTCATGAACAAACTTGTTTGAAAACTCTAAGATCATTTATTGACTCGTTTATTGACTTGTTTATAAACTCATGTACCCAGTTCATGAAAAAACTTAATTTTAATTTTATAAACAAATGAAAATGAACAGTTGTGTGTTCAGATTGTTTATGTTCACGAATAATCTCATTTGAAAGCTAGTTTATAATATCTTTTACCCAGTTCTCCTTTTCCTTTATCGTTTTACATTTTGAATATTGGTGAACATAGGGACTAAATTGAATACATGATGAACTTTGGAGTTCAAACTATGAAGCTTAAGGACTTGTGGTGTAATTTCACCATTTTTGAACATGTTCATGAACGTTAAACGAACATGTTCACGAATGTTAAATGAACATATTGATGAGTATTAAATAACATATTCGTGAATGTTAAATGAATATGTTAGTGAACGCTAAACGAACGAGCATTAACACTTTCAAAAGAAAAAAACAAATACAAACATATTATTGAAAATTTAAACGAACACGAACTAAACATGAACACTTATAAAAATAAATAAACGAACACAAACACAACCTTATTCATTCAGGCTCAATTCATTTATACTCCTACTTTCCGCTTCAAAACTATAATATTTAGCTTTAAGACTATCATATTAAGCACGCATTTATTTGGAAAACCTTACAACAAAGACTTCAAACTCATATTATTTAACAAATTAATATTCGAAAATATGATAAATTGGAAACTTTGAGCCATTTTTCTAAAGGTAAAGGTGGAAATTCGAAAGATGAATTTATTAATTTATTTTCTATTCCATGGGACCTTTACAACGACATCTCATATGCTCAAAACGGTTAAGTGATAAATGAGAAATTGATGGTCAAAGTGGCATATCATTTTGAATATGCCAAATTAAAATGATATTTTATGATTTCTTCAAATTCGGATACTAATAAGATACAATTCATGAATTTATATTTGATTAAAATATGATATTATAGCTTTGATAGGATTGTTATACCTTAATTTTGAAATATATTACTCATGAATTTATACTCCATTAAAATACATACAATATTATAGTTCCGGTAATATTGGTATACCTTAATTTTAAAAATATATTATTCATGAATTTATATTTGATTAAGATACAATATTATAGTTCATGTAGGGTTGTTATACGTTATTCTCATAGTTTATTTTTTCCACTTATACTCCTATGTGAAACTCCTATAAATATTGTGCAAACCTTATATGTTAAAAACAACTTAGTAAGTCGAAAAAATCTTTTACTTCTCCTCTAGTTTTATGTGATAGGCACGGACAAGAGTATAGTTCGTGATCTCTACAATTGTACTACTATAACTGATCATCTGGTTGTTGTATCCTGAGAGACAGACAACCAACGATCTCAAACAAGGAGTGGTTGAAAATATATCATAAGGAAACTATTTATATTGTCTGCAATCATTTGATCTATTTAAAATCATGTATTTATTTATATACTATTTTCTTTCAATTATTTAATAAGATTTTCTTTTTATTTTAACATCTTGGATTGTTATAATATTAATAGTAAATTTTGTAGCCAAAGGCGAAACTGGGGTCATGCCCCCCATTTTTAGGGTAAAGTACATATTTAGTACTTAAATTATCATTTTTGTTTCGTTTTAGTACGTAAACTTTCATTTGTTTCAAAATCATGCCTAACATTTACCTTTTGTTTTATTTGAGTACACGCCGTTAAAAATTAAGGTACTTAAATGAAACAAGAAGTTAACAGGGGGGTAACAACCTTAACCCATATACATCACCGCATACGAGTTAAATATATAACACCAATCGTATAAAACATTTTTTTTTGAAAACCAATAAAATTTTGTTTCTTTAAAATCTTAAAATATATTTCTTTATTTTTTAAGCTAATAATCACATAAAACCATATTAAAAACATAATTTAATATTCTACTATGCATATATATTATTTATAGTACTTAATATTTTCTATTTTAAAAGAATTTTAGATATTACATCACAAACTATTATATAACTAATTTGTTGAAGTTTCCACCCATATACGTCACCACATATGAGTTAAAGATGTCACACCAAACGTATAAAACGTTTTTTATTTGAAAACCAATAAAATTTTGTTTCTTTAAAAATCATAAAATGCATTTATTTATTTATTTTAATTAATAATCAAATAAAACCATAATGTAATATTTAAAAACATAAATTTATATTGTACTATTCATATATATTATTTATAATGCTTAATATTTTATATTTAAATCATTTTTAGATATTACGTCACAAACTGTTATATAACTAATATAAATATTAGAACAGCTAAAAACCTCATTAATATACATGTCACTAATGAAAAATACAACAAAACAAGTTGTCCTTACTGATTCTGATTGTAACACCCTCAGACCGATGTGGGTGACCCGATCCGAGGTGTCACATTAGGGCCACCGGAACGACCTACAGTAAAAATCCAGGAAAATTTTAAAATTTTTATTAATCCATTTAAAACTGTAAAATAATTTATGGATAAAATACAAGTTTAGAAAATCATTTATATATTAAAATAAAATCCTCCAATATTCAGTAATAAACAAGTTTCAAACTCGAATATAGAAGCATAATATAACCTACATGCCCCCTAATCACATGCACCGTACTCCGCAAGCAATGCCGATGGAACTCTTTTACTGATGTCGATAGCTACATTAAATCGATTCTTTTAACCTAAAATGGTGAGTAAAGAGTGAGCTTTAGGAAGCTCAGTAATACAAAACTACCAGATGAATGTGATACATCATCGGGTATATGGTAAAGCATAAATTCCTTAGCAGGAAAGTCATCATCATATTTTAGCGGTGAATTCAAATTCCATTAGCTAAGTCTTCAATTACAAATATGAATTTACAGTATGAAGGAAGTATTAAGAGAGTGATGATTCAAATGATTGAATTGGGGAGTCTAATGTGTTCCAACAAAATAAATAAATGTGTATAGATCCTTTAAAAACATTAGTAGTTTAAAATATATTTTAAAACCACAGTAATACTCTCCAACCAGACATTGATATGGAATTCCCCAGAACTGCATCCATAAGGACTTACCCTAGTCACACAATAAATGAGTCACCTTAGGGGAATACCTTAGGGTTCATAAGGTCTTACTACTAGGCCCCAT